AAGACACGCTCATGCTCATTTGCAAAATTCAAATAACCATCAGTGTGTTGTGAACAGAAATAATTCAAATCAGAGTTTATTTTTTAAATATTCCCTTTGAAATAAATGGCTAATAAATAAAACACCCACAGGTAAAGACATGGTTTGCAAAAAACAGTTAGAACTTTAATCTAAATGACCTTTAACTACAGAACTCTGTGTAATTTTAGTATTTTGTAACACCAAAGCCTGAAATCAGTAAGGAAGTTTAGAGAGCTGCAGAGATGTTATTTGCATAGCAAGAATCTGAAATGGGGAGAGTTCAGTCACCGCTCAGTCGTCTGTCTGCAGGAGGATCTTTGTAGCAGCTCAGTATGTATACAGCTTCCTTCTATTTTGTAACTTCATATGTGTACAATTTTTAGATTGCATTAACACATGAAAATATCTTGAAGGAGTCTGATTTTCTGCAGGTTTGTGAAAATAAAATGAGACCTCCAGTCATCCTTTTCCTCATGACAGCATTGGCCGGTAACTGTATACCTCTCCATGTCGTCCTTTTGTGCACATTTTGAGTTATTTTATTATTTATTTTCTGGTTTTCTTTGTAAACTTAAAATTCATTTATCTGGTATTCAGGCTTTCAGTGGGAGAAAACACAGCATTTAAACAGTGATTTCAGCGACCTTCATTTTAATAAATTTGTTAAATTTGTGTGACACCTCTGTTTTCCCCTGCCTGTCAACTTAGTTATACCATTGAATTATTTTTATACATAAAAACACAGTTTTACCACAAAGTTTTTTTTAAACCATTTCAAAGTTTTAGTAATGTTTTTATTAATTTTCCTGCCTCTCAGGGAGTGTTCCCATCAAGACCTTGGTTTTCCCCACTGAGTCATGCACCAGTTTTGCTGAGATGATCCCTCAGAAGCCGCTGAACCTGACTGCATTCACTCTGTGCATGCGAGTGGCCACGGAGCTCAGCGGCCAGCGAGAGATCATCCTCTTTGCATACCGGACTGGAAACTACGATGAGCTGAATGTGTGGCATGAACTGGATGGAAGGTAGGACATCTTAAAGTCAGCATCTACACTGTGAGCTTCCC